TATGCCAGCCACTGCTAGAAATACAGCCATGAAAAAAGTACATTATATAAACAGTAACCCCAGTGCAGATATAATTCCAGGTGTTAAGTGATTGGGGGGGGGGGGGGGGGGGAGCAAGCTAAGAAGGCAGAGAATGATGTTGGGATGGGGTACTATTTTAGTTGGGTCTAGAGAAAGGGAGTCTCATTTGGTAACATTTAAGCACAGATCTGAATAAAATTAGCCATGTGGAATGAATGAATGAAACCAGACATATGCACATGCATGGGAAATGCTTTCTAGGCACAGGGAGCCCCAGGTGGAAAGGCCCAGGTGAAAGTGAGCCCAGAGTGTGTGAGAGCGAGCCAGGAGGTCAGGGATGCTGAAGACAGAGATGTGGGAGACAAGTCCAAGAGGCAGCTAGAGCCAGACAGGCATCTCTTGCACAGTTGTAATGTTACTGAAAATATGGAAAATTATGGCCCTGGAAAGAGACAAGTGGCACTTGGAGCTATAGAAGAGAAAGGTTTGGTCAGCACTGGTGAGGGCTCAGCGGGGTCCTCTCCCAAAGCTGAGCACAGTCCTTTGTTCTCAGTATCTTTTCTATAGCACAGACTTTTGGGTTTCAGGACTTTCTTATGGATGTAATCATGATGTCTCTCCCTTTCTCCACGCAGCTCTGGTTCCTGCCATAGATGCTGAGCAAACATGATTGCAGAAGCAGAAACTAGCAGGTTGTAGCTATTAACAGAGATAAAAAGAAACATCTTAGGAAGGAGTTGCTGCTTCAGTAATAGTTTATAAATCTCTCCTGAGCTTACATGGGACCTTGATCTTACTTTCAGAACATATTCTGTTTTTTCCCCTACACTGGTAACAGGTATTGAACCCAGGGGTGCTTAGTCACTGAGCCACATCCCCAGCCCTTTTTATTTTTTGAGACAGGCTCTCACTGGGTTGCTTACATACTTGTTAAATTGCTGAGGCTGGCTTGGAACCTGTGATCCTCCTGCCTCAGCCTCCCAAGCTACTGGGATTACAGGAATGTCCCACCACACCAGGCTCAGAAAATATTCTTTTATATGTATGTATGTATGTATGTATGTATGTATGTATGTATCTATCTATCTATCTATCTACATATATATATGTAAATGCAATAGATGCATCTTTTCTTGATATTTTTTGTATTTTTATTTTATTTTTATATGGTGCTGAGGATCAAGTCCAGTGTCTCACACATGCTAGGCAAGCACTCTACCACTGAGTCACTAACCCAGCCCCAGAACATATTCTTATACTGCTCAATCCCATTTTGCTACACGATGTGTATATGTATAATTTTCGTAGATGCATAATATTCCATTACATGCTATAATTAGTTTCTTCCTTTCACCCTCTTGCAAATACTCTTTCCTATTACCTGCTTCACTGTATTTCAGCAATTTTTTCTTTCTTCTTTTTTTTTTTTTTTTTTTGGTATAAATTGCCAGAATAGGGATTACAAATTAAAGGGTTCTGAGAATAAAAACTGCCAAATCTCTCTCCAAGGTCATGTGTCATATTCAATGTCATCAATATATTCAATGTATTTTTAAAACATTTTATGCAAACATATATAAAAATGAAGCAAACAGTAGAAGGAGTCCCTGTGATCACCAACCGTTAGCAAGATGGACAGTATTGTTTCATTTATACCTAATCCCCTGGATTGTTTGGCATCAAATACTAAATATAATGCTGTTTCACCAGTACGTAAATTAAATATATTTAAAGCATTTTTTGTTAAGAGAAAGTTACTGTCTACTTTTACAAGGAGACCATCTATATTAGAAAGTTGTTCATATTTGTTTCAAAGTGTGATCTGGAGCTTCAGGAAAGTGGTTAATGAATTCCTGTAATAGTGCTTAAGTTAACTGTGCAAAACCGAGCAGCTGGTCACCCCTGCTGGGCAACACTGCCCCCCCACCCCAAGTCCATGTTTGTCTTCTCCATTTCCATTTCTCCCCAAATCCAGGGGCCCCTGGAGTCTTGTTAATTCTGCCTTCAGAGGCCCTCAGTCCTGTTTCCTCCTCTCTGTAGCTGTGGTCTGGCTCTCATGGTTGTTTGCCTGCACCACCTCCACAGCCTCCTCACTAGCTTCTCTGCTTCAAGATTGCTCTGTTGCCAACCTTCCTCCACACTACCACTGAAGGCTCACTCTTTCTTTCTTCCTTTCTTTCTTTTTTTTTTTTTTTGTACCAGGGATTGAACCCAGGGGTGCTTAACCACTGAGCCACATCCCCAGCCCCTTTTATATTTTTATTTAGAGACGGGGTCTCACTAAGTTGCATAGGCTTTGCTACTTTGCTGAGGCTGGCTTTGAACTCGTGATCCTCTTGCCTAAGCCTCCCGAGCCCCTAGGATTATAGGCTTGCACTACCACACCCAGCCTGAGGTCTCTTTGTACACCAGAGGTATGACGGTCTCTCATCTGCTTAAAACCCTTCACTAAGTCTCTGTTGCCTTGAAGAGAAAATCTTCCCTCCCAAGCATGGACTTCATGTAGAGCAGATGGATATCTCTTCATGACCTCTGACTACCCCTGAACTCCTACCACAGCCCATATTCATCCTGTTCTCCTGACATTCTGACTTACTTACAATTTCCTGAACTGGCCATGTTTCCCCCAAGTGGTTCCCTGGGCCCAGAAAAACCTTCTCTTGTGTCACTATCCTCCCCCAAAATACCCACACACCTGACTGTCACTCATTTTCAGTGCAATTCAAATACCACTTTCTCTTAGAAGCTTTTCAAAAGTCACCTACCATGCCTGGGACCACTATCCTTGAGGTTCTTATTGTCACTGAGGCATGCTGCATACACCCTCGGTGTGCCTCTATTGCGCTTCTCATCTGCAATTTCTTGTCTGTCTCCTCGGGTAACAGGTAATTCTCTGAACACAGGACCTTGTTACCTTGGTTCCCTGAGCAGTACCACTCATGTGACCAGCATTTCATAATGATTTATGAAAGTATTGCTCTTCTGGATAGTAAACAACAGAAACCAACCCTGATATTTAAGTTGGAAAGGAACTCAATGAGAAGATACTGGTGAGCTCACAGAATTAACTGGAGAACCAAGAGATTTTGTTCAGAGCTAAAGCAGCCAGTAAGAGGGCCCAAATCATTCCACAGAGCTACTCTTGTGACCACTGCTCTGTCCTCCATGAAGGGCTGGATCTTCCCCCAGCTCAATTCTACAGCTGTGGCTCATTTGTTTTACACACTGAGCATGATATAAGAGATCATTTGCAGAAAGTGTTTACAGATTAAAACAAAAACTAAAATAAAGTCTTTTAAGAGATGTCTAGGCGTCTCCTAAGTTAGTACTCATACGTAGGCGTTTTGATCAAGACATAGAGTGTTGGTTTATTTTAGTAGTTAAGGAACTGTAGAACCAAAATTCAATTATTTGTTCATTCAACAAATATTTATTAAGTACCTCTCAGGTAAAAGGCACTGCTGAGTCCCCTAATCATGGAAGGCTTCAGTAAGTTTAAGTCACTATGCTCTAGAGAAATGAGCCAGGCAGGAAATACCTCCATTCTGTAGAGGAGTAAACCAAGACTCAGAGAAGTGAAGTGAGTTGTTCACTTAATGGGCTCATGATTTGAAGCCCGTGTTCTGTCTGTGCTGCTGTGGACTTGTCAATCATCTACAGAGCAGCCAGGTACGTGCTGGATGGAGAAGAGATTCCTGAATCTGTCGATTAGTAGGTCACTGTTGGTGACTTTTAAAAAGTGATTTGGATAGCTGAGTGTGGCAACCAGAACTGGCGGTGTGGTGAAGAATTGGGGCTGGCAAGTACAAACCACTCTTTCCAAACATTTGACAGTAATGGTAAAGTAAAAGTAAAGTAAAGGAAACGGTTGACAGAACAGTGACTTGAGTAGAAAAGAGAAGACAGAGAAAGTTGGTGGGGCTGGAACTTGTAAATTGGAGATTTTATAAAGAGAGAAGACAATAAGATGCAACACAGAGAAATATTTTAAAATGCAAAAGTCACACACACCTATATTTGCTTTGGAGCAAAATATTCTGAGTTCAAATTCTGGCTCTGCTTCTGACTATTAATTAGTAGTCTAAGTTTCTAAACCTATGAATAGTTTGTGACTCTTATCATTAAATTTAGGCAAGATGTCCTGTACTTGTGAGCAGGTAAGAGGCAATCCTTCCCTGCCCCCTTTCCCACAGCTCTCTGCTCTGCCCCACTCAAAACTAGAAGTGCTAGATAAAATACATGTAATGTGGGACATACTAAAAATAATTCTTTATTTTGAATTTAACCAAGCATCTTGTTTTTGTATTTCCCAAATCTGGCAATGCTATCCAAAATAAAATACCTTGTATCCAATGTGCCATGACAGAAATTTCAGACAAGTGTGAAGAGGTAAAATGGGGATGGTGCTGCCTCCTACTGGTAGAACCTGGCAAGACCAGCCATCATGTGTGCACCTGTTTCTTACCAAAAGCAGCAAGTCACAAGATACATAGTGGATGAGAAGTGGAGTTTTATGAACCTTTTAATCTTTTAGTCTAAACTTGTTACTACCATAGCCTACTATCTTTTGATTTTTACTGGTATTGACTATTCTTCTTAACTATGTAGTTTTATACTTTTTTTGTCAGGGTTAGTAAAATATTACCGTGCATTCAGAACTTAGGATTTCCTTTGGGATTTCAATATGCTCATTTTATATATTTAAAATTATACTTTTTAGCTGGGCATGGTGGTGCACACCTGTAATCCCAGTGACTTGGGAGGCTGAGGCAGGAGGATCAAAGCCAGCCTCAGCAACTCAGTGAGGCCCTATGCAACTTAGTGAGACACTGTCTCAAAATAAAACATAAAAAGGGCTGAGGATGTGGCTCAGTGGTAAAGCGTCCCTGGGTTAAATTCCTAGTATCGAAAATAAATAAATAAAAATAAAAGTATACATTTTCACCTAACAAAACCACTTTAAAGTCACTCTCAGTACCTGCATCTTTATTTATTCTTACAAAAGAATGATGTACTTTATGTTTGTTTTACGTGCTGGCACAGGTAAATAGAGGAGAACTGGTATATAATAGGTGCTTAATGAAATACCTTTTGTTATTATGATATCATGTTAGCATAATGCTATTACAGAGAACTTGTTGAGGTGTAAGTAGTCCCAAAGAGCAAGAAAGACAAATGAGGCTTTCTGAAGTCATTCTCTGGCAGGAATTGAGAAAATACCAAAGCTCTCCAGGACACTGTTGTCTCTGGATTTCTGTGTGCCAATTGAAACTATCTAGGGGCTGATCAGCACATGGTTTCCTCACTCCCACTGACCACCTGAATCTCATTGACAGTGATTTCAATGCTTCTTTACCTGTTTAATTTTTGGAGGCAAATATCTGAGCTTCCTGCCTGTCAGTTGTATTTGCCAAAGGTATGTGTGTTCTTGAGGCAGCAAGCGTCTCTCAGTTGCCCAGGAATGCAATTCTGTCTTCACACTGAGAAGTCCAGGGCAGATCAGGAAAGAAAATCTACTGAGTGGCTCAGGCTCCTGGAGGGTTGGTGTCTGAGCACCTGGAAGCAGGAACAGGGTCAAGTTTTGTGCCTGGTAAGTGTGTCCCTTTTTGAGGTGGGTTTCCTAGGGAATGATTCAGGGTTGTTATCAGGGTTTCTTTTTCACTTGTTTTATATGGTCATTAAGCCTCTTTAATGCTATCTGTTATTAAAAGACAATTTCTCTATTTTTATATAGCTAACACTCTCAGTTCAGAAATGGAATTGGGATCCAGGATGGAGAAAAATGATCAGTTCCTGCAGACGCTGGGCAAAAAGATCGTCAACAAGTGTCTAGATTTGAATAGTTGTGGATTAACAACCGCAGATGTGCGCAAAATGGGTCTGTATGCAGCTGACCTTGTACAGAGGAATACAGGCTTTTCTGTTGAGATGAGCAGGCAAAACACATTCAGTGACTTTGGTAGGCCAAAGTTTGCTGAGCAGTGCAAGATAATGTCAGAAAGAACTGCTGCAACACTATTTATTTATTTATGATGTTAATTCGGTGGCACATGCAAGTAATCCGGGCTGCTCAAGAGGCTGAGGCAAGAGGATCCTAACTTTGAGGACAGCCTCAGCAATTTAGTGAGATCCTGTCTCAAAATAAAAAGGGCTGAGTTGGGCACAGTGATGCATGCCCATAATCCCAGTGACTTGGGAGGCTGAGGCAGGAGGATGACGAGTTCAAAGCCAGTCTCAGCAACTTTGCGAGATCCTGTCTCAAAATTAAAAATTTTTAAAAAGGAATGGGAATGTGGCTCAGTGGCTAATGCCCCTGAGTTCAATCCCTGGTATGTATAAATGAAAAGATAGATAGGGCTAGGAATGTAGCTCAGTGGTAGAGACCTCTTCTGTTCGATCCCCAATACTGGAAAAAAATTAGCTGACCCTTCTTCAACCCTTCATCATTCTTCAAAGATTTGAGCTGATTTTAGATTGATTCATTTGTTTTTTTCCTAAGCAAATTTACCTACCTAGTAATTACCTCTTTATCCTTGAAATACATCTATTCTTGCATTTGATATAAACTCATAAAAATCATCCATAAAACTGAGCCCTGATCGGAATTTAAAGAAGTATTATTCATTATTGTGGGATGTTCATTATTGTGGGATGAAAAGTATAACTCTGGGCAATTATTGCTTACACCTTTTTATAAACACACATATACCTTCCATTTTGTGAAAAGCCCTCCTCCCCACACCACCTTTTTTTTTTTAACTCTCTTTTTCTTAGATATCTTAAAATAAGCCTTTAATTAGATTGTACATGTCTGCCAACAGAGAGATAAACAGAATCCGTTTTGAGTGAGGGGTCCTTAACCATTTGTTCTGATCTATTCGGGCTGTAGACTGGGTTAATTCATAAAACAGAAACCTACTTCTCACAGTTTTGGAGCCTGGGAAGTCCAAGATCAAGACTTCATAGATGGCACCTCCTAACTATGCCCTCACATGATAGAAAGGGCCAAAAAACTTCTCTTGAGCCTCTTTTATAAGGGCATTAAGCCCATGCATAAGGGCTCCACCTTCATTACTTAATCACCTCCTATAGGCCCCACCCCTTAGTGCTATTATACTGGGGATTAAATTTCAACATATGCATTTTGGGAGTCTGTGAACATTCAGATTAGAGCACTATTTTATTTAACATTTGGACAGGTCTCTTAAGAGGAAACTGTGGTTCCTCGTGCATATGGGGTCAGAATCCACTTGCAGAGGGCATGGAAATGCGATCACCAGAATCCAGCTCAAATCTAATGAATCAGCCTTTCAGACTGGGCCCCAGGATTCTGTATTTTAACAAGCCTCACAGGGGATTCTGATGCAAGCTGAAGTTTGGCTGGCCGCTGGCTTGTATGTTGTGTACGGGTATTGCATTTTCTTAATGAGATTACTAACAGGAAGGAGGCTTGATTTCCTTTGTTAAAATCAAAATTGGAGTAAAAGGTTATGGGACACAATCATCTGCTAAATCAATGTTTGATGTTAAAAAAAAAAGCACGTGGTTGGGGCTGGGGTTGGGGCTTAGTGGTAGAGTGCTTGCCTACCATATGTGAGGCACTGGGGTCAATCCTCAGCACCCCATTAAAAAAAATAAAGAAAGAAGATAAAGGTTTATATATATGAAGAAAGGACAAATCTTTAAAAAAGAAAAAAAAAGCATGTCACTGAGTTTTTTCCTAATGTATTCAATAGTTTAATGCTTTTTATAATATTTTGATTATGGCAAATAAGATGCAGTTGCTAAAGTGCTTTGCATGCTAGTGGAAACTTTTTATTTGTCACATGGTTTCAGAATTTTGGAAGGACTGGAATTCCTGTGCCTGTAACCACAGAAGCTCAATAGGCTGCTTGAATGTGACCACTATTTTAAAGTTCAAGACAGATTTAAAAGCAAGCAAGCAGAGATACTTTATCTCTTCTACTCTAGCATTTCCATTCTCAAGTTTTATTGCTTCAGGAGCTAGATGCCCTTCGAGAATCTTTTCCACAGAAACTAAATTCACTTTTAATGAGCAGTGGCAGAGATTTGGAGAAGGCTCCTATCAAGCTGTAAGCCTGTTCAAACCTCCACTTCTTGGTCAACTGAAGTATCAAGTAGTGATGGCCAGGTAATCAAGATAAAAAAAGAAAAGATGACAGGCACAGCCAATCTCAGCAGTCCTGGCCTTTAGAGCATTTCCTAGCTCTGAGCATCCAATAGGGTGATGGATGATGGGTGTCAGGGGTTTTTGCAAAATAAAGAGACTAGAATACATATCACAGTCACAGTGTTCCCAGCAGCAGCAGTAGAATTATCATTACTACTATTGGGTTCAACTCCAATAAAGGATCTTATGAAGACATCACCATATTTTCAGGGTACAGTTATTTAGCACAGATAGAAAGCATCCCAAGAAATAGGAAATTTAAATGTCATAATTTCTCCAATTGTACAGCTTGAAAAATCCCTGTTTGGCTGAAAGTCAACATGTCTTACACCTCCCCCAACCTCTTATAGTGCAAAACTAGATCTTGTGCATGTAAGATTTGAATTCTGCTTACTAAAATTTACATATACAAATCAGTATTTTTCTCTGTTTACTTCTAGTTGCTTTGTTGCCTTTTCTCCCAGACTTGGAAGAACTGGATATTTCCTGGAATGATTTTGTTGGTGGGAACCTCCCCTCAATCACTCAACAAATGCATGTTACCAGCAAGTTAAAAGTCCTGAGGCTGGCTAGTTGCAGACTTACCACTGAGGATGTCCGAGCACTGGGTACGATGAATGATTTCCTGGAAGCACCTTTACACCTCAAACTCTCAAGGGCAAACAATCTATATTACAGACTATCCCGGTGATCATGGTCAAGAGCACCATATAATGCAATGCTGTGTTGGGCACTTGTACAACTGCTGAAGAGCTATGTGACCCTATACTTGGTGTTATGCTAAGCTCTGTGGATAAGGGAAGGAACAGGGCTGACCAGATAACTGCTTTCATGGAGTTTAAGTAAGGCTCTTGTAGCACTAGCTTGCTCTAGGTCTCAGTTACCTCATCTAAAAAAGACAGGATATGGTCATTATATTTAAATAACCCTACCACAAATAAGAGGAAATATAGAGAGTAGGGACATTCCGAACCAAAAATGAACTAACATTGGGCAGCTCTAGCTAGGTTCCTACCCTATCCTGGTAGCCAGGACTTAGAGGTGAGAAGAGAGGAGAGAGCCATAAGGGTGAGGGTGTGCTCAGCCACCGTCCGCTCAGCTGAGGCTGCAGCCCTGAGCATTTCATTGTGGGGTTCAACTATTACCAGAAGAATGTGGGAATGAGGAAAAAACCCAGAACAAAGCAAAGAGACATGCTTAAAGCAACATCTAACAATATGTGGGGTAACCCTCACCTGAACATGGACAATTTTTCTAACTGAAATGGATAAATTGCCTACCTGAATCTAGAAGATTTGTAAAGGATGCCCTTTGACTTGAAGAACATTTATTAAATACTATCCTATCTTGTTAAAAAAAAATAATAATAAAAAAAATAAAAAAGACAGGAGTTGGAGTAGATAATATTTAAGTTCTTTTCAAATTCCAGAATAATACCTCCCCTATTTTCCTACACCCATTTTAAAAAAAATTGATCAAGACAAGATTTTAATTAAAAATGATGGTTTAACTAGAACTAGAACCTCAAATAAATCAGTTGATATACTGAACATAGGATAAAATCTGTACAAAGTCATACTACTTACCCAACTTTTTGGCTAAAAGGCTAGCTGGCTTGTTAGGTGTCATGAATGCTTTATATTCTTTTTCAGTCTGAAGTTTCTTTACTTTGATCACTTACATCTCTTTAAAGAGTTCTGTTAACACAATGTATGCCAACTGTCTCCTGGGTTTAGTCCATGGTAAGTGGAGGCTCCTGATGTCTCTGGCCACTTTCCTGTGGCCAAGGAGAAACACTAAACGTCCTGGAGTTGGCCAGATCCTGGGTTAAATCTTAGCTTTGATTTTCAACTAACTGTGTAAACATAATAATTTAACAAGTAATTTGACCTTTCTGAAACTCAGCCTGTTAATCTGATAAATGAGGCTAATATCTGCCTCAAAAACTGTGGAAGAACTAATTAATTTCTGTAAAGTGCCTACTACATGCCTTGTATATAGTAGGTGCTCACTAACTAATAGTTCCTTTTTTTCCCTATTCTCTCATTCAAAATACCTCTCTGGGGGTGTACATGATCAATATAGCCCACCAGTTAGCAGCTGGTTATAATGTAGCAGAGTCTCAAATTTAACATATCATTAACCATGTGTGAAATCAGTTTGGTTTCTTTATTTACCTGAGCTTTCACAATGCTTTGTCTGTAGGAATCCAAGAAGTGGAATTTCTGCCTTGAGGTTCTTTCCACACTTACCTGGTCTTGGAGAGACTCAGCACCCTTGTCACTGAAGTTTTGTACCTTCCTCCCTGTCCCAGAGCTGTTGTCTCTGGAAGAACTCCCAAATCCTCTCCCATGAAGGAGGGCTTATTTATCATCCATACTCTGTCCTCACTGAGCCTTAATGGCAGCTGGAGTACAAGGAGAACAAGTGGTTTATTGATATGATAACATCCATCAATCAGGAGGCATTTCAAAATTGTTACCTTTCTTATAATTGCTTAATGCCTTCCACTGTCATGTTCATTGTAGACATAACTAATTAATCTTCACTCTTTCTCTTGGATCCTGGGGATACTGTGGGACTGTAGAAAGTCACCTCAAATTGACTGGCAATGACCCACAAATGACACTTGTTCATTTCCTGGTTAAGATGTTGTAACTAATGGAGAACATGCATTTCAACCCAGGACTCCTGGACTCCCCAAACCTTAACCCATGGAATGAATAAACCATAGTAGAAGTCCTAGCCCAATTGCAGACAGTGGAAGAGAGGCTTTTGTATTCAGGGGACTTTTCAGAACCCTTAACTGATTGGTGTAAAGATTTATACTGAACATTGAGGAAGTACTTTTGCATGAGTGTGCTCTATTCCTCAGGCAGTAAAAATAATTTCTACAGCTAGTCTCTCCGGTGATTTCCCTCATCTTGCCCAGCCTCCATTCTAGCCTTCAGATGCTTTTCTGCATGAAATGGCTTTAGACAGGAAATGGACAAGTTTCACCCCTCTCTCTATGTACTTCACTCCCCTCAGAGGCTATGTGGTTGTCGTAGCTGCTAAAACCTGGTGTTCTATTATTAGTTCCTCTCTGTAGTGGCTGTTTAGCTGCACATGGTATTCTTGATGTTGAGGTGAGCTTTACCCCATGGTAGCCAGTTCACAGCTTTGCCTCACTTACACCCCAAACAGATCCCAGAGAGGACTGATGAGATCAAGCAGATGGACTGGTTCAGATATTTACTACCAAAAAAAAAAAAACAACCCAGTAGAACCATCCTATTGATAGGTGGATTTTTTTTAACAACAACCATTTTTTTTCTAGCTTCCAATCATGGCTTCATAATTTTGGAGAGACTAGAATAGCTATGCCTGCAAATATAAAAACTCACTTTTCGGTAAGGAGACAGGAACTGGGTCCTTTTCTTCCCTCACTTCTGTGTCAACTAGCATAGCACCTGGCCCAGTTTTCATACTCCAGAAATAATGGTTGTACCAATTTTGAAATGAATTTCTTGCTTTTCTGTGTAATGATCAACTGGATTTTCTGGCCATTCTGTAACAGGAGAAGCGCTTGAAATGATACCTGAACTTGAAGAGCTAAATTTGTCCTGGAATAGTAAAGTGGGAGGAAACTTGCCTCTGATTCTCCAGAAGTTCCAAAAAGGGAGCAAGATACATGTCCTTGAACTAATGGATTGTGCCCTCACATCAGAAGATGGGGCATTTGTGGGTAAGTGGGATTTGGAAGAATTTTTCCCAGGGAAAAAAGAATGGGAAGATGTCCATGATTGGTAGCTTGGGAATCTACATTTGCTGGGCTTTCTCTTACCCTGTATTTTAAAGGAGGCTAACTCTATCCTCAGGTCTCTGGAAACTTCATTCTCTCTCCTTCTTTTCCTGGACTTTCACATGCTATGTTTTTACAGTGTTGCTCTTCTTGTTTGGATTTCCTTTCTTCCAGGTCGGTTGCTACCCAAGCTGCAAAGTCTTGAAGTACTTGATCTTTCCATTAACAGAAACATCGGTGGTAGTCTCAACAGTATTGCTCAGGGATTACAAAGTGCCTCAACTCTGAAAGTACTGAAGTTACATTCATGTGGATTATCGCAAAAGAGTGTCAAAATATTGGGTGCGTTAACAACATATCTATAAAATATAAAATTATCATAAACTATTAGTATAGATGATACACAAATACATACTTAAAAGCTCTTAGGAAATAAAACAAAATGTAAGCAGTAGATATATTGGGGAATACAATTATGGATGGGTAATTTACATATTCTTCATGTTTTATTTATTTTATTAATATTTTACAGTAAACATATCATGATTACAAAAATAAGCTTTTGAAATGGCTGATTCTGAAAAGGCAGGATATTTTAGGCATGAGATAAGAGAGTGGAAAAGTGAAAGTTTTTGTGATACTATAGCTGGCAGGTTTTCCGTGTCTTTGAAAAACTTCAGCATTATTTTATGCTCAGTGGTAGGAAGGAATTGGTACTGATAAAAATAATGGCTTCAATGGTGTCTATGGTTAAAACATTACCCTGTGTGAAGTCTCCAGGTCATAGAGCATGACACTGTGTTTTTTCCTCTGGCTTACAGAGCCTGTAATATCCTTCTCCTGGCAACTTGATAAATCCAAGAGTCCACAGAAACTCCATTGCTCAAGTACAGTTGGGGGCATATAGTTGTAGGATTCAGGTCAGAACCACTGGCCGTCCATGCAGATGTCAGGGAGCATGTGTGTGGAATCATGTCAGATCCACACAGCACCAGCTGGCAGAAGTGTACTTACTGGTATACCTCCTTTTGGCTTTCGTCAACACAGTGTGCTCAGTCAGCCTCTCTTCCTGCAGCACTTCTGCCTTCCTTGTCACATACCTTCCTACCACCTTAAAATATATTAAAATGACATTTTGACTCTTTTTAGATGCCACTTTTAGATACTTGGGTGAGCTGAGGAAATTAGATCTTTCCTGCAATAAGGAGCTGGGTGGAGGTTTTGAAGATGCATCAGCCCCACTGGTCATGCTAAAGCATCTGGAAGTCCTAGATCTTCACCAGTGCTCACTAACAGTGGACGACATAATGTCACTGAGTAAGTATATTCTGTAAAGGAGAGACTTTTTGGAACTTGGAAAATTTGAGATGTACATTTAAATTTAGTTTTTTATGAAGTTATTGGAAGGATCAAATTATGAAAGTTCTGGAACTATCTCAACACAGTGTTTAGCATATACTGAATGCTCAGTAAATGCTATTGAGTCTAGATTCCTCCTATGCACGGCTGTAAATGATAGATTTGGCACTTGGAGAAAATTTTGAATTTATGTTTCTGCTTAGCAATGAATCTTTTAGTGTCACGAAGCTGATTACAAACAGGTATGTAGAGAGAATGCCAAAATGTTGTTCAAACTTGCCCAGTAAAGTCAAGCCACTCAAACAAGTGAAACTACAAAAAAAGAGCCAGGTAGTGATACGTGATGGGTAAACATAACGGCTCAAGATAGGTTCACTTATTTCCCTACCATAAACATAGGTCTGTTGTTGCAACATGTTATATGTGAATGCAATTTCCCACAGCAAACATAGCAAGCATAGCCTTGAGATTAAGGGTTTTATTTTCATTCATGGCCACAATAAACCTTGAGCACACATTTGGAATCTGAGCACAGCTTACCTTATAGACCTCTACTAGCTCAGGCCCCTGCCATCGCATGCCTAGATTATTACAAGATCCAAACAGTCTCCCTGTTCCCGCCCCCACTCTGCTTGAGTTCTCTACCCCTTCTCATTTACTCCACCCTGGCCATGCTGTCCTTCCTCACCTCCAGACACACCAGGCATGCACTGGCCTGGGGGCTTTTGCTCTTGCTCTCTCTGGACCATGGGCAACTCCAGGGTCAGTATGTGTCTCATTAAGCACCTGCACATTGCTCAAGCACAGGCACCTGCATATAGCTGGTCCCCAATATATGCATATTGAATATATGAATAAATGAATAGATGAATGGCAAGCATGAATAAATATAATTGTAAAAAAATTAGTATAATTTGGGGAGAAAAATAGTAAAATAGGTTTTCAGGTTTAACATTTATCTTGTAGAACTGCTAAATTATTTCTCAGGTCCTTATCCCTTGATTTGGGGAAATGAGAAAATTTAACGGTTTTTATGAAGATTTCTGAAGTAAAAAAAGAAAATTCCTTTTGAGCCCTACTTGGAGCATTATGTGGTGTTACCATCCCCTTGACCTATCAGAGCTGAGAGTCACACCTAAGAAGACATGCTGAGTTTTCAGGCCTCTGGATTCCCTTGGTGGAACCAAATAACATGAGTATCACATCTTATCTTATTAAATAAGGTGGATAAGAGAAAGATTAAAGTGCTAGAGGATCTCCATGGCTACCACCAGTATAACTGAGGGATAATCCTTCCTTATCCAGGTCACAACCACTAATATGGATGAACAGACTCAGAAAGCCAACTATTATATAATAACTGGAGCAAATGGTATTGTCCACCTTCTGCTTAATTTTTAAAGGCTGGAAATGCTTTATGACCCTAAATCACTGAACATTCATTTATCTGATTGTTACAGATAATTCCAAAGAAATAGAATTATAGATCATTTAGTCAATAACTGTTGATTAATCTAATTGTGCGAGGCACCATGCCATGGTCTACAGGAAACTCAGACAGTCAAAGAGCTTTAGTATGGTAGGGGCAGGAATAAAACAATCCCTATCCGGATTACACAGTGGGGTGGGGGTATTCAAGATGCTGGAAGAGGAGGAAGCAGTTACACCTGTTGGGATGAAAACTCCCTGCCCGGCTTGTCTTCCCTTCCTTTGCACAAGCTTTTGTACCTCTGATGTTCTGGGTACTGATCCCCATCCTGGGGTCGAGGTAGTCCCCCATACTTAGAGATTTCCTTCAATGAGGGAGACAGAAAACAAATACTAAACAAGAAAATATCATGCAACCGTGGGTGCTGTCAAATAAAAAATAGGGTGATGTGAAGTGACCACGGGCTTACATTAGCTTGGGTGGCCCTGGAAGGATCTGAGGAAATGATCCAGCCTCATGGAGATCTCAGGATACTGAAATTCCCATCTTGGTAGAGCGGGGGCAAAGGCCTGGGGGCAGGAAATGCAGCACAAGGATAGTGAACTAGAGGTAACAGAAACCACTCTGGTGCTGTTACTGACAGGTGCCCTGATTGCTTGGTTTCATTGCCTTCCTGCTTCCTAATATTTATATTCACCCCAACTCCCCTACTTTTTTTTTTTTTTTTTTTGTACCAGGGATTGACTCCAGGGGCATTTTATTACTGAGCCACATCCTCAGCCCTTTTTACTTTTTATTTTGAGATGAGATCTTGCTGAATTGCTTAGGGCCTTGGTAAGTTGCTGAGGCTAGGTTCGAACTCACAGTCCTCCTACCTCAGCCTTCCGAGTTAAGGGATTACAGGTGTGTGCCACCACACCTGGCCTGGTACTTACTTTCTAAGAAAAGAATGATATCAAACTTTAATATGTGTCAGGTACTGTACCAAGTACTTTACATAGACCAATTCCTATCTTCCTAATGATCCTGTGAAGGATGTATTTTATGGTTGAGGAAACAAAGGTTCAGAGTAGGTAACTTGTTCCAAATCACACTGCTCTTTAGTAGTAGGATCCAGGACTGGAGCCCAGTTCTTTCTTGTCTCCAAAGTCTTTGTTCTTAACCTCTGGTCTGGGGAGAGGCTTTGAAGCAGAAAAGCCCGAGTGGCTCCCTGGGAAGAGGCTGGTTTGGGAGGTGTGTAAAGGACAGAGTCACACTGGGGAGAGTTGGTTGACTGTTCAGTTAAGAGGATTGTGACAACCCAACACTGGATGGCTGTCTGTGAGATGGTGCCTAAAACATGTCACTGTTGGTATTTTAACAGCCCAGGTTATCCCTTTACTCTCAAATCTTCAAGAACTGGACTTATCGGCCAACAAAAACATGGGCAGCTCTTCTGAGAACCTACTCAGCAGGCTCCGATTTTTACCCACATTGAGGTCGTTACTCATGAACAACTGTGCTTTGGAAAGTGAGACTTTCACAGCTCTCGGTGAGAGAATTACCCAGATCCCTGCAGGCACCACGCAATAACAGGGGAGGGTCCACGCTCTCTTTCTCTATACACAAATTTCATTCCAAAGCTCAAGCCATAGGTACAATAAGGTACGTAGTCATGAGGTTTATGACTATAGTTTGTCTTCTTAGGAAATATGCCCTCTTACAAGTGATCTTCTCAAGGCAAATGATTCTGGAAACTGCAGATTTTATATTTTAAATTTACCTTGTATATAACCAACTCTGGAGGGTCTACACCCATGATAACTTAAAATTTTCCATCTGAATTGAGACGGCAGTACATTGATGGAAGGTGTGTGAGTCTTGCTGACTGAGTTCACTTCCCCACAGTTTTTTTTTTTTTTTTTTTTTTTCAGAACTGAGGATTGAACCCAGGGTGCTCTACCACTGAGCTACATCCCCAAACCCCCTTTTTATTTTTTATTAGGAGACAGGGTTTTTCTAAGTTACCCAGGCTGCCCTTGAACTTGTGATCCTCTTGCCTCAGCCTCCCGAATTGCTGAGATTGTGGGTGTGCACCACGGCACCTAGATCCCCACAGCTCTTGCTGTTCTCTCTCAGGAATCTGGGTATGCCTCAAGTTCTTGGATATACCAACCTAGATCAAGGGCCTACTGGATCTGAAATTTCTGCCTATTTAGGAGCAAGAGTATGGTCAGCAAGTAGAAGGAGATATTTTGAGGCAAAAGGGACTTTGTAGCGTTTTTCAAAATACACCACCTGGGCAACCAGCACTTTTTTTTTTTTTAGCATTTTGTACTATGGTGCTGGAGGCCCCCAACTGCAGCTCCAGGTTCAGTGATTCACTAGGAGGACTCAGGTCTCAGCATGCCATTGCACTCATAGCTAAGATTTATTACAGTGAAAGGACACAAAGCAAAACCGACAAAGGGAAAGGTACCCGGGACAAAGTCCAGAGGAAACCAAGCACAAGATTCCAAGAGTCCTTTCTCAGAGGAGCCATACAAGGCACACTTAATTCCTCCAGCAGTGAGTTATGATGACATGTGTGACATATCATCTCCCAGTGGAGCTTGCCTGAACTTACTAAAAGTTCAGGGTTTTTATTGAGGCTCAATCATATAGGCCACCTCTGCCTGGCACATTCCAAAATTCCAGACTCACAGAAGGAAAGCTGGTGTTCAGCATAAATCATATTATAAGTACAAACTGATTAGGCACAGTGATCTAGCCTTATCAGGGAACGGTAAGAACATTCCCCAATTCCAAGCTCCCACATGCCAGCAAAGGGCATGATCAGTAGCAGGCCTTTTTCGGGTAGGAGTCTCAGGCTTGCTATGTTACCTCTTTTTTGCACATGTGCATGTGACTAAAGCCATTGGATCCAGGTACTTCCCGAGTAGTGATGAAAACAGAGTCCTCCCCTCTGACCCTTTCTCAAGTGCTATGCCAGTTGACACTTCATGAAAAGTGTATTGTACTGTGGACCAGACAAGAGCTATTACTAATGAAATGCATTCTGTTAATAAAAATAAATACATATCACTCACTCCAAATTCGAAGGGCACTGCTGACTTCCAATGCATTCACCCATGTAGACCTGGTCCTTGTCATTACTGCTCCCAAGCAGTAATCTTTCATCTCTTTGCCATGTGTCTGGATAGGGAGAAATCCCAGGTCATGTTCCTATCAGACCTGGCATTCTTTATCTGGGGTCACAGAGAGTCTATCAGTATGCTCGAGGGGGCCTACCTATGAGCTCCCTAAAATTGATCACAATTATTCTGTGTTGGGGGAGTGTTTGGTACATTTCCTGCCCCCGCCCCCCGCCACCAAAACGCCTGGAATTCAGTCTGCCTGAAATCAAATCCTGACTGTGGCTATTGAGACCTGTGGGACCTCAGGTACTTAATATTATTGTTCCATGTTTCACTTTCCTCATCTGTAAAATATAAGATGAAATAATAGTACAGCCTCACAAGGTTGTCAGAATTAAGTGGGTTCATGCATGTAAAGTTCTTAGAAAGCTCCTGGCAACATAGTAAATGTTCAATAAATGTCAGTTGTTGATGTTATTATGGGGAGAGAGTCTATAAATTTCATTTTTAAAACAAATAGTGTTGGATCACTGCCCTGTTTAAAAAATTCAGTGTCCTTCCTGTCGCACTTCAGGTGATACCCCCATTCCTCAATGTGGTTTAAATGGCCCTAGGGATCTAGCTTCAGTACCTTGACTATTCTTTTCTTTGCTCTCTGAATCCAACCTCAATTGGATTCTTTCTGTTCCTTCATGTCACGCAAGACCATCCTGTTCTCTGCCACGCCCTACCTCCAATCCCTACTCCTTCCTGGGAAGTTTTGACTCAATTTTCAGGTCCCAAGAAAACAGAACACATAAAAATGTCTCTTGTTATCTAAATTAGGAACCTGTTTATAACCTTCATCAGAATTTATAATTATGTATTTATTTGTGTGGTTGTTTAATGTCTATATTTCTTCTAGATTATAATCTCCTTGAGGGGAGAGATTGTGTTGATTCTTTATTCCATACCTGAAGCACATTTTAGGTACTATCTACACTTAGTTAAGTTAGTTAACATTAGTTAAATTAGTAAATAAATAACAAACTTCTTAAAGGGGTCTGTAATTCATCAAATGGTTAGGTAGGCACATTACATACACAAATGACATACTCCACTGCTTAGACTAATTTAGATAAGTTCCAAAAAAGAGTAAATTTGGGGTCAACATCATATTTCATAAATACAATTCCAGTAGGGAAAAGTTGAATTTTTTTTTTTAAGAAAAAGAAAAAATCTTGAAGAAATCAAGCTGTCCTAAGATACATGACTTTCTAATTCTAGGTGCACAATGAATCATGATCAAGTAGAAATTACACTAAATTATATCATCTGACATAACTCTATCCACTCAATTTAAATTAACCTGATTGATGGATATACTCTATATCATTTTTTGTTTATTCATTTTTTAAATTTTATGGTAGTGGGGATTGATTCCAGGACCTTGCACAGGCTCAGCCAGCACTCTACAGCTGCACCCCCAGCCTTTTTTAGTTTTTGCTTTAAGACAAGGTCTTCTAAATTACCCTGGGCTGGCCTCAAATTTGAAATCCTCCTGCCTCAGACTCCCAAGTAGTACTCTACATTGCTTCTTTAAGAAAAGTTTGATTTTTCTTTATTGTACATCTTTGTATCATAAGTGAGAGAGATTTTCTTACAATATACTATAAAATAATAGATATTTTCTCTTGAACACATATTATTCTTTGTTCTTTTTATTTTGATACTAGGGATTAAACCTAGGGGTACTTTACCACTGAGTTACCGCCCCAGTCCTTTTAATTTTTTTATTTTGAGACAGGGTCTCAGTAAATTGTTCAGGGCCTCACTGAATTGCTAAGACTGGCCTCCGACTTGTGATCCTCATGCCTAAAACTCACTAGTCACTGGGATTACAGGCATGCACCATAGCACCTAGCCATATTGTTCTTTAGAAAAAAAACAGAGCACAAAAAGTGTTTTTAATTACTATGCTTGGGAATAAGTTGTTCTGGTTAATTTTAACTCTAAGGTCAACTGAGAATCAAGCAGAAAATGTTTTCATTTTCTTTAAAAACTTTCCAAAATACATGGGTTCTTTTCCTTGCCTCAGTAATTGCAGTGAAGTAAACACAAATATATCTTTTTGTTCCAAAGCCTTCGGGAGGCTTATCCCCATCTCTGACTTTCAGCAGTGACTGTACAGTGGAGCATGTAACCAACCAGGGCATGCTCTGAAAATCTTGATTAACTCTCCAAGCACTTTGCCTTTTTCTCCTTCCCAAATATGAAGAAAAAGAGAGAAAAACCCCCAGCCAATAGTGAATTCCATTTAATCATGTTTTACTGTTCTGAAGTTTCCAATGTTTTCCCAACTAAAAATCATCAATATAAATTGACGCCATGAATTTCAGGCCGGAGAAAACAATCTCTACAACTTTCTCCACCCTGAGTATATTAATATGTTGTCCTGGTCTATGCTCCTCAAGTTCAAGGCTTACGATATCTAAGTTATTCTTATCATTATCACTTTTAGTCGAAGCCTCTATTCACCTCCCCACTCTGGAAACAGTCAACCTTTCTTGGAATAAGTGTGTTGGTGGCAACCTGAAACTGCTTCTGGAAACACTAAAGCTATCAACATCTCTTCAAGTGCTGAGGCTGAGCAGCTGTTCCCTGGTGACAGAGGACGTGGAACTCCTGGGTTTGTATCAGATCATTCCAAGGCAGTCTTGGCATGCAGAGCACGGGAATGGGGGAGAGGGAGAAGTCAGGAGGCCTGGGGCTAAGGTCTGGGTAAGCTTCCCCTTTCCCCAAAATCTGTCTAGGAGAGGTCTGGTTAAAATGAGGGACAATTCTAAAAGCAAATGGCAGGGGTTGAGGTTGTGGCTCAGTAGTAGAGCACTTGCCTGGCACATGTGAGGTTCGATCACTGGGGTTTGATCCTCAGCACCACATAAAAATACATAAATAAAATAAAGGTATTGTGTCCATCTACAACTAAAAAAATATTTTAAAAATAAATAAAAGGAAATTACATAAAAGTGTTTCCTAAGAGGAGATGGATACAGATAGGTGGTTCCTGTCAGGTAGATAGCTTTTGCTCCACACCCTCCCATATGTTGAGTCTTCAGTGTTCACACGTCCATCATTTTACTTCCACATAAGGTTTGCCCTAGCCACACGGTATTTGCACTACTACTTAATTTTACCTCTGAATTGACTCTTGCTTTTATTTAAATAAAAAACTGGCCAAGCATGGTAGCACATGCCTGTATTCTCACCTACTCAGGAGGCTGAGGCAGGAGGAATTGTAGAGGCTGTTCTGGGCAAATTAGACCCTCAAAATAAAATTTAAAAAAATTAAAAAGGCTGGGGATGGAGCTCAGTGATAGAGCTCCCCTTTCCCACCCCAGGTTTCACTCCAGAACAAAATAAATAAATGAATAAAATAAACCAAAAATATAAAGGAAGTTAGAATACAATTTTCGCACTGAAATGTGTTAATTCTCATACAGATTAAAGTGATGCCTGCTGAAGACTGTGAGAAGAGTTTAATTCTCTCTTTGCAAATAAATAGATAAATAAATAAATCTAGAACTTTCTCCACGTCAATTTAGAAAGCTATAAGGAAAATTGAATAACTTTTTGTACTGTGAGATTCTAGGCAATGTAATACCTGAAATCACTAGGCAGGTCCACTTCCCCTTGGGAAATGATGAATTGGAGAGTCTCTGTCTCCTATATTTCCTTGTCCTCACACCCCCATTTTATTCAGCCACCAACTTTCAGATCTCTGAAGCCATGAGCACCCATGGAAATGAGGTAGCTGTATCTATGTTCTCAGTGTTTACCATCTGTTCTGCTATGAGAGGACACCTGTGCCTAAAAATCACGTGCTATGCAAAAATCACTCAGTAATAACCACAGGGTTTATGGTTAGAGGCACAGCACTTGAAACTTCATCAGTGACACATAGGAACTAGTAGAAATACCAGTAGAGTTGTTTTCTGTGTTAAATTGGCTAAGAAATACAGAAATATTACAGTAAATATGGCACTTTGAAAAGATCTAAAGTTTGTCTGTGGAAGGAGAATCACCTGAGGTAGAATAGTAAGTTCCAACACCAGATGTGGTTGAGTGAGCATTGTTGTTCCCCTGAGGTGTGTTCGTGTGTACAGATTTATTCCCATGAGCAGCTGGAATGGTTTTATACGTTCACCTGGTGTTTCCTGTTGGTCATTGTGCAAAACAAAGAAGGAATTTGCATTATGCTCAAACTGTTCCCTGAGATTTCAATCTAGTTGGAAGAAAGTTGCATTCTCAAAACAAATGTTATAACAAAAATGATTGTGATTAGAAGATTGGGACAAAACATTGTGATTTTTATGTGCATTTCCCTAGTGATCGATGATGTGAAAATCTTTTTGTGTGCTTATTTGTCAACTGTACATCTTCTTTGGTGAAGTGTCTGCTCTAAATATTTTGCCTAATTTAAAAAGTTGGATCATTTGTTTTCTTATTAATGACTGTTGAGATCTGTCTTGATTTCCTGGACATTAAGTCCTTTACCAAATACGTCGTTGGCAAGTATTTTCTCTGATCTGCTTTTCATTCTCTTTAACTATTTTTTTGCAGAGCAAAACCTTCAGTTTTGGAGTAGGTCTATTTATATTTTTGTTAATTTGTTGGATAGAGCTTCTTCTGTGTTTCAACTTAGAACTTTTTGAAAATACAAAACTCTCAAGGATTTTTTTCCGGTATTTCTAAAAGTTTTATATTTACATTTTACCTGTTATTCATTTGAGTTAATTTTATATGAGGTGTGAGGTATGAATAGAAATTAGTGTTTATTTCATATGACTTTCTAATTATTTGAACACTGTTAATTGAAAAAAAACTCTCCTTTCTCCATTGCATTTCCTTTGTATTTTTGTAAAAATTCAACTAGCCCTATTTGTGAGGGTCTATTTCTGACCTTTCTTTTCTGCTCCATTGATCTATGTCTATATTATTTTACCAATATCACACTGTCTTGATTTACTTTACATCTTGAAGTCAGGCAGTATGAGTGTTCTGACTTTGTTCTTTTTCAAAAGTATTTTGGTTTTTCTAATTCCATGCCATCGTCATATAAAATTGGAATCATACTGTCAATATCATTTTTTAATCCTCGTGGAAATTTGATTTCAACTCCATTGATCAATTCAGGGAGAAATGACATTTTGACAATACTGAATATTCCAATCCATTAACATATTATATCTCCCTATTAAGGTACTCTTTGGTTCTTTCATTGGTGTTTTATAATTTGCTGTACAGATCCTGCACATATTTTATTAAATTTTTATCTGAGTAGTTAATTTTTATGGTGCTATTATAAAAGGTACTATTTAATTTTTGAATCCAAATTAACAATTGCTAATGTGTAGAAATACAATAGATTTTTTTAAATTTTGAAATATTTTTTTTAGTTCTGGTTGGACACAATACCTTTATTTTATTTACTTATTTTTTTATGTGGTACTGAGGATTGAACCCAGTGTCTCACATGTGCTAGGCAAATGTACTGCTGAACTATAAACCCCAGCCCCTATAATGTTACCAATCTTCTGAAAGAATCAGCTTTTTAAAAGTCTATTTTCTGAATTGGATACCATTAAAACATATATATTTAAAATATATATTTTATATTATTTTAAATATATGTTTTAAATATATGTATTTTTAATGGTATCCAATTCAGAAGATGTATATCAAGAGAGATAACTATGTGTATTTGCTATGTATATATATAATTATATGTATATTTGTTACCTATATATAGTTATATATATTTGTTTATTTATATTTATTTATTTTTGGTACTGGGGATGGAACTGAGCTATATCCTTAGCCCTTTTATTTCATTTTTTAAATTTTTAAAAATATTTTTTGGTACTGAGGATTAAACCCAGGAGTGCTCTACCTAATGTAGTTCAGCCCTTTGTTTACTTTTTTAAATATTTTTTTTTCTTGTAGATGGACACAATACCTTTTATTTATTTATTTTTATGTGGTGCTGAGGATCAAACCCAGTGCCTCACACATGCTAGCAAGCGCTTCACCACTGAGCCACAACCCCAGCCTTGACCTTTGTTTATTTTTTTATTTTGAGACAGGGTCTCACAGAGTTGGTGAGGCTGGCCTTGAACTTGTGATACTCTTGTCTCAGGCTCCTGAGTTGTTGACATAACAGACATGTGCCACCATGCCAAGCTTGAAACCATTAAATATACATAAGTTAGTTATTTTATTTAAAGTTTACAATTAAAATTTATTTCTTTAATTCATTTTATTTAGGTCGACATAAAATTTTATCAATTATACCTTCAGTCATTGTATGTTTTTCTTATTTTTTGCCGCTAGTTTTTTTCCCCTACATAAAATTTATACTTTTACATTTGTCAGGGATATTTTTTTCTTCTTTCAATTTTTAGTAGCAATATTACTAAATGTGGGTTTAGCCATTGCCACTTTTATATTGCTTTCTTTCTAACAGAAACATTAAGGATTTGTTAATCACTGGTAGCTGGTGTTAATTTCCTTTATAAACAAACATTTTTCCCCCATAGAGTAGACTACAAAGCAAATATTTACATGACCCACAATTCCACTACCCAGATCTTTAAAGATATAATAAATATAAAATATTAAAAAATAATACTGTAAATAGGGTACTCACATATGGAAAATCCAAAAAGGATAGAAAAATGAGTGAGATTTGCTTTAAAAATACTTTAAAAAAAAAGGGGGGGGGGGGTAGAGGAAAGAGGATTATATGAGGCAAAATTAGTGTAATGAAGACAACTGTTGAGGCCGAACGCTGGGACATGGCAGCCACACTCTCCTCTCTAATTGTTGTATATTTGATAATTTCCATAATTCAACCCCCCACCCCCACCCCCGCCATCAGATGAGTTGCTTAGGCTGTTGCTTAGGCTGGCCTTGAACTCCTCAGCTATAAGCACACACCACTACACTCTGCTACAAACTTTTCTAAAGAGTGGGGGAAAACATGCACGCTGTCTTTAACACAGGTCAGATCTTGAGAATACTGTGAGTAATGTTGTGAGACAAGACATTAAGGTGACACACACACTGAAACTGACACCTAGGGACAGACAGCAACTCTTGAGTGTTCAGACGACTGAGCTCTCCAGCGCCCCCTGTTGGCGAGTGAAAGAGATGGGGTTGGAGTGTCCTACTAGATCTGGGATCCATGATGGGTGAGAAGTGATTGAAAGACCCGGGCATGGTTAGTCCTCAAAGTGGAATTTGAGGCAGACCTGACTGTTGTCTAACACTGCAGGACTGGCATGAGAAGGAGGAGCTGAGTTTTCCAGCTGGCCAGCAGAACTGATGGGTGAAAGTCACTGGGAGCAGAAAGGGGGCCCGAGAAGGGATTCTCCCTGCTAAAGTGGCTTTCCAATGAACTTCAAAGGATGGTTCAGGTGGAGTCATGGTGGTCACCCATAGAGGGCTGTCAAAGGGATTCCTCTCTGGTCATTGCTCTGGAAGTTGAATGGGGAGACTTTCAGGATCCCTTGACACTCCAAGATTCTGGGACCCGTACCTGGGCTGAAGAGGAAAGAATGTGCTATTTGCCTTGGGTATCTCTCCCACCTGTTCTTGCAGAAGTTGTTATCTTCTCTTAGTTTTATCATAACTATTATTTATTAAGTGCCTTTATAGCATCTATTATGGTATGTACTATTCAAAGGGGGAAATTGTCCTGTGTACTAGTGATCTCTAAAGTGAAATTATCCAAGTATGTTTTGCACACTGAAAGTGCTTGGTTAAATAATTATTGAATGAAGAATGATGGAATGAATGACTAGAAAATAACTAAACAGTATTAAACAACAAGAAGACTATTTACAAGTGGTCCTGAGTTCATGCCAATGAATCATCCCTCCAGACGTTTAAGTCTGAAGGAGAGCTGGGTCTCCAGGGAGGCAGAGAGCAGGAACTGGACAAAAATGAAATTCTTTGGGTTGAGATCAGGAAAAATGAAAAAAAAAATCCATTTTCAAACTTTAAATGGCATGTACAGGGGAAATTTTGTTCAGATGCCTGAATAAAAGCTGTTAGTTAAAAACAAATAATTACTAATTACTAATATTGTCATTACTAATCCCAGGGATGCCGTGTTATGTGAAATAGGAAACAACAAGGGTAGAAAGTATTCTTGTTTCTTAGTGTTGGGGGCAATACTCATTTTGTTTTGCAGCATCAGTTATACGGATGGGACACCTGACCAAACTGCAGAAGCTTGACCTGAGCTATAATGATGGCATCTGTGATGCAGGATGGGCCATCTTCTGCCAAAATTTGTGGTTCCTCAAAGAGTTAACAGAGCTGGATATTAGCCTTCGGCCATCACACTTTCGGGACTGTGGACATTGGTTTAGATATCTATTATGTGCTGTAACCAAACTCCCTGAAATCACTGAGATAGGAATGAAAAGATGGACCCTCCCAGCCTCACAGGAGGAAGAACTAGGATCCTTTGACCAAGATCCCAAAAGAAGAGGCATTCACTTTGACCATGGTGGGTTTCGGTAAACTGGTTTCTTAGGTCTTACTTAGCTAGGAACAATTCTCTAGAGCAGGAAAAGAGTATGAGCAAATTCCAGTGTCATCAACTGAGTATCAACTTGTGGTTGTTTACTGGGACTTATGTTACAAGAGCTTTGTAAATATATGTAGCTAATAATTCAATTCCAGCATGTCTTTATTCTCTGTCTTATGAAAAAAGGATGACATTTTCCAACAGATTTTGTTTTGGATATATAATTAGTTCACTTACTATTTAGAAAGCCTACCAAACATGTTGATATTCTTATAGAGTGTTTGCTTTCTTCTTACTCTGAAATTTTTTCTTTCTTGTTTTCCTATTCATGTTCTAAATATAAAGGTGTGTGTGTGTGCGTGTACCTAAATGCACATAAATGTGAATCTAATGTAAAAGAAACTAGCTGTGTAAAAGTGCTATGTTATCTTTGCTATTATAACATAAAACTTGTTGTGTTGCATTTTTCTCTCAGATATAAACTATGTACACTAATAATGGCTGTTGATATATAAATCTTGGTTAAAAGGTAGCCAAAAATTCAAAATCCTGCATGAAAATCACATCTCGTTAAAATAAAGTAAAATATTTTATAGTTAGAACAAATTGTTAACTTATCACCTCTGGGTATTTCTTATTACTAATTCATTAATAAAAGCTTTTGTGTTGCTCTAAGCAATTTTTGAAAAATTTTTTTCTTGAAATCAGGTGTGGTGGCACACAGACTTGTAATCCAACAACTCAGGAGGCTGAGGCAGGAGGATTCCATGTTTGAGTCCAGCCTTAGCAATTTATTGAGGCCCTAATCAACTAAGCAATACCCTGTCTCAAAATAAAAATGAAAAGGGATGGAGAAGTATCTTAGTAGTTAAGTACCCCTGGGTTCAATTCCTTATACTTCACCCCCAATATTTTTGTTTTTGTTTTTCTTATACTACTGCATCAAAGCCATTGCAGAGCAGAGATGTTTGCATACACATTTCTGTTCTGATACCATCAAATCACATTGCGTCTTGCTTTTCTCTAGCTACAATATAATTAGGATTGCAATCATTGCTTAGAAAACATGTAAATTTTAAATCAGTACTACTTCAAAAGAGTCATCAGGATGAGTGGTTTTGAGGGCTGTAGAAGGGCATATTTTGGTTAATGTGATATTTTCTTCCCTGTGCAGTGCCATGAATCTCATAAACATCTATGCTCATGCAACTATCTGTGTATGAATGTTCATAGCAGCTTGATTTGTAATAGCCCCAAACTGGAAAGAACCCAATATCTTTCAGTGAATGAATGCTTAAACAAACTGTGGGACTATATAATATATTCAGAAACAAAGAGGAATAAACTTGATACATGCAATATTTTGGATGAACTACTAGTGATTATGGTAAGTAGAAAAAAGTCAATCTTAATTACAAATTCTGTGATTCCATTTATATGACATTCTTGAAATAATGGGATTTTAGAGATGGAGAACAGTTTAGGAATTGAGGTGCGTAGTGGTAGGTGTGACTACAAAAGAATAGCACAAGGGAGACTTGTAAAGAACAATTCTGCTCTCTCTCTCCCCCTCTCTCACTAAAAAAAAAAAAAAAAGAAAAATTAAGAACAATTCTGTGCCTTGATTGTGATGGTTTATAGAAAGCTCATGTTTCAAAAGTGCATTGAAACACGCACACACACACACACCAGGACATGTGCAAACTGAAGAAATCTGAAATAGTTCTGTTGATTGTACCAATGTCATTATAGTTTTATTATTGTATTACAATTATGTAAGATGTTAGCATTGAGGGAGGGTGAAGGGTGCTTGGACCTACCTGTACCATTCTTTGGAACTTCCTGTGAATCTATAATTTTTTCAAAATAAAATTTTAAGCAGACATAATATTAAAATAAACTCCTAGTACCAACCACTTGCTTTACAGTTGTTGGTTTATGGTCAATCTCTATTCTCTTCCTCCTCCCCCATATTATTTTAAAGCCATTCCCAGGTATATTCTTTTGTCCATAAATAATTCAGCAAAAGTAGGAATCGTTTATTATTACAAATAACCACAATTCTATAAGTTTGATCATGGAAGGCATCTGATTCCTGGTCATTTTGCCTTCTTAATCCATTAATCATTACCTCAATTCATTAATTTATAAAAATTATTTCTTTTTTTCCTTTACGGGTTTTCCTTTTTCCACCTTCTTTCCTTTCTTATCTTTTGGAGACGTCTTTCCTTTCTTTCGTGCCTTGATTAGTTCTTCATATTTCCCAAATCCTTTCCGTACCATGGTCCCACGCCACCATGCCTGGATCTGCAAACAAAGTAAACCCAAACTCAGCATCTGCTGATGTCATGATTGCTGCGGTTTTAATTTGGTCTGTCTCCTCTGGAACTCACACGGATACAATTCCCAATGTAATGGCATTGAGAAGTGGTGGAATCTTTAAAAGCTATTGGGCCATGCCGGCTTAACACACAGTCCTTGTTCTCATAGGACTGGGTTAATGACAGAAAGAGACAACCGTTACAAAGCAAGGCCTCCACGTGTGTTTCACCTCCTTTGGAATGTGCACAACTGCACTTTCACCTTCTGCCATATTGTGACCTCCTTTTCAGATACCATTGCTCTTGGACTTCCTGGCCTTGAGAACATGAGCCAAATAAACCTTTATTTATTTTCTATGACTCACCTGGTCTCAGGTATTCTGTTATAGCAACAACAACAAAAATAGATTAAGACAATGATACACTGGAGATGTTTAATTTCTTTGTTCTGGTGTGTGGTCTTAAAGATGCAGAGAGTGGGAGGTGGCTTGAATTCTAAACCTTATATTCTATCTTTCTCAATCAGCCAATCAGTCAAGCAAAAAAAAAAAAAAAAAAAAAGAGACTGTTCTACACATTTGGGAAACAGCAATTAAATATTAGTGTCCCTGAGTTTCTGAAACTCACATTTCAGTGAGCAGAAGAAACAATAAACGCATGTATATATATTTTGACAGATGGTGACAAGAACTGTGGAGAATGACGTGCATAGAAATAGAAGCCTGGGGAATCAGCGTATGACACTAGTTGCCATCAAACTGGGCTCCTACCTAAAACCAGCTCCCACTGGAGCCGGATCCTATTCCCTCGGTCCTACTCTGTTCCATTCACTCAGGAAAACCTCTCCTCTCATTATAGATTCTTATCAGAATTTCCTGTGGCCCCCGATTTCTCTCCAAAATTAAAGTCAAAGCCCTTCCAATGGCTTCAAGGCCCTATCAGATTTGCTCCCTCCCATGACCTTGGGGCCTCTGTACTCTCTATGCCTCAAACCGACTTTCCAATAGTCAGAAGGCTGATCCTCAAATGCTTGATTGTCATTGCTATGGAGTGAACTGTGTTCCTCCAATTCAGATCTTGAAGCCTTAACCTGCCAATGTGGTGCTATTTGGAGGGGGGTTAGGGGAGTTAAGCTTAGATGACAGCATGAAGGTGGGGCCCTTAGGATGGGATTAGGGTCCTTTTAAGAGACATCAGAGACCTTGTGCTTCCCACCACACTTCTGCCATTTGAGTACAATACCCTGTTATGGCAGCCATCTTTTCCATGAGACCTACCCCTGATCATCTCCTGGAAATCAACACTCTCTCTGTTCACATACACACCAGTTCTGGCAATCTCAGTTCCCCTAAGTTTCAACTTATTTTTCCCCTAACAGCACTTATCATTTTTTATATAGTATAAAACTTTGTTTTATTTTTTTCATGCTTTTATTCCCCTCACACTAGGATTTAAAGCAATTCAAGGACAGAAATATTTGTGTTGTCCACTGATGTATTTCCAGTGCCTAGGATAGTGCCTGGGATATGGTAGAAATTTGATAAATATTTACTGATTAAATGAATCAGGTGGTAGGGCTATGCTGTCTTATATAAGGTAGATCAGGAAGGGTTCTTTCTGGTCAGAGGACTTTGGAGAAGACACTGAAGTGAGGACCAGAATCTTGCCTATATCTGGAGAAGGCATCTCTGGGCAGAGGAAAGGCTCTGAGGCAGGACGATACTTGGTTCCTGGAAGAACACTCAGGATCTGGTTTAAGTTGAAGAGAAAGATGGGAATGAAAACAAAGAGGTGATTCTTTAGGGAACGGTGCGCCCTCTAGAGGCACTTTGGAAACATACAGTATTTTTTGTTTAGGTTAAGCAGTCTCTCATGTGAACTGTAGTCTGGATCACCACCTTCTGGAAGGTGTGCAGGCAGGAGTAGCTTGAAAGCAATCCATCTCCCAAGCTTCCACTTCCCTACTGCCCCTTTCTAAGATCAGCCTGGGAATACAAGTGCTGATCCCCCTCACCACTGCCCTTCTGGCACTTTCCAGAGAACAGGCACACCTTGCATTCTTCTAGGTCTTACTATGAAGTATTGCCCTGGACTCAAAATGTCTGGGGTTTCAAGAGAAAGGACAATACAAAACACTAGTGTAGACACTGGGACCACAAACGGCTCGAGGACTGAGGAATTCCAACTCTGCTTTCAAAAAATAGAAGGAAAAAAAAAAAGAAATTAGAAGCAAGACTAGTTGATATGCCAGCTAAGACCTGCGTTCTCCTTTTAGATATATAAATCTGGAAGAAGTTCAGAAATGTGTGAGGCATTATTATTTAAAACAAAATAATACAAAAAAACTTCCATTCTCACAACTCATTTTTGTGAATAAAGATTTACATGAGTAGAATCCATGATAAAACCTGTCTCCTTCTAGTAATTCACAATATTTATGCATGATTATCTAAACAAAGTGCAAAAAAGTCCCTCTCATTTGGATATGTCTCACAATTATAAAAATTTGTAACAAATATGTTCTTTTAGATGATTTTATACTATTAGTAATTGTAATAAAATGACCTAAAATATTGAAAAACATGTTCACAGAAAAAAAATTTTAGTTTAAAAGTAGAATTTATATAAATGTTTTGTTGCCTAGCTGGGCAAAAAGGCAACCTAAAAGAGTTAAGGAGCCAGCGTGGTGGTACACACTTGTAATCCCATCAACTTCAGAGGCTGAGACAAGAGGATTGCAAGTTAGAGGCTAGCCTCAGCAATTTAGTGAGATTCTCAGTAACTTAGCTAGGCCCTGTATCAACTCCCCCCCGCCATACTGGAGATTGAACCCAGGGCTGCTTAATCACTGAGCCACATCTGCAGCCCTTTTTATTTTTTATTTTGAGACAGGTTCTCACTAAGTTACTGAGACTGGCTTTGAACTTGTGATCCCTCCTGCCTCAGCCTCCTGAGCTGCTGGGATTACAGATTATGGCACTGATCCTGGCCTGTCTCAAATTTTAAAATAAATAATTAGGAGATATAGCTTAGTGGTAAATTTCCCCTAGGTTTAATCCTTAGTACCAAAAAGAAAAAGTAGGAGCTGGGGTCATAGCTTAGTGGTAAAGGGTTTGCCTTGCATGTGTGATCTTTTCTGGAAAAAAACAATCCAGAAAAGAATAAAATAAAATACATGTATAACCTTAGTATCAACTCTGAGGGAAAATGTAATAGAAATGCAGGTTACGGAGGAGCAGCGGCCTGCTGAGAGGCAGAGCCGCCCCCTCCCCCCGCGCCTGCAGGTAGACGGAACTGTGACCACCATCAGAAGAGGCCAGACCTGCAACCGACAGACAGAACAGGCCCAGTGGCCTGAGGAAGGGTAGAGCCGCCCCGCCCCCCGCGCCTGCAAGGTAGGCGGACCTGCGACCCACTGGCAGAACAGCCCCAGAGGCCTGCAGAGGGGCAGTGCCGCTGCCTGCGCCTGCAAAGTAGGCAGAACTGCGACCACCGACAGAACAAGCCTAGCAGCCCGCAGAGAGACAGAGCCGCCGCCCGCGCCTGCAAGGTAGGCTGACCTGCTACCAACCAGCAGAGCAGGCCCAGTGGCCTGCCGGCATGGTAGGCACATTGCCCCAATTGGAGGAGGGGCAGAGCCGCCGCCTGCGCCTACGAGGGAGAATTTGCAACTATACAAGACCAATATAAATATATAGGGGGAAAATTCAATAGCACAACAGTTTCACCAAGTAGAAAGGAACGCGAACAGTATGAAGAGACAAGGAAAGAAAGGACCACAAGCAATGCAGGTCAACTCAACGTTAGAAGAGGTAATAGCTGCAGCAGATGGAATGTCAGATAAAGAATTCAGGATATACATGCTTCAGATGATCTGGAGTCTCAAGGAAGACATCAGACAGCAAAATCAGACAATGAAAGATCACTTCAACAATGAATTACATAAACAAATCCAAGAAGCAAAAGATCAACTATACAGGGAGATAGAGGTTATAAAAAACGAACAAACAGAAATCCTAGAAATGCAGGAAGCAATAAACCAACTTAAAAACTCAATTGAGAATACTACCAGCAGAGTAGAACACTTAGAAGATAGAACATCAGACAATGAAGATAAAGTATTTCAACTTGAAAAGAACATAGACAGCTCAGCAAGACTGTTAAGAAACCATGAGCAGAACATCCAAGAAATATGGGATAACATCAAGAGACCAAATTTAAGAGTCATTGGGATACAGGAAGGGACAGAGTTTCAAACCAAAGGAATTAGCAATCTATTCAATGAAATAATACGAGAAAACTTCCCAGACTTGAAGAATGAGACAGAATCCCAAATCCTAGAAGCCTACAGGATGCCGAATGTGCAAAATCATAAGAGACCCACACCTAGACACATTATAATAAAGATGCCCAACATACAGAATAAGGAGAGAATTTTAAAAGCTACAAGAGAAAGGAAGCAGATCACATTTAGGGGTAAGCCAATCAGGATAACAGCTGATCTTTCAACACAGACTCTGAAAGCTAGAAGATCCTGGAATAACATATTTCAAACACTGAAAGAAAATGGGTTCCAACCAAGAATTGTGTTTCCAGCGAAATTAAGCTTCAGGATGGAAGATGAAATTAAAACCTTCCACGATAAACAAAAGTTAAAAGAATTTGCAGCTAGAAAACCATCTCTTCAAAACATCCTTGGCAAAACATTACAGGAAGAGGAAATGGAAAATAACAATGAAAACCAACAGTGGGAGGTAGGACAGTAAAGGGGGGAAAAATAATCAAAGAGGAAAACAAACCATGTTTAGTAACATAATTAAACAAATATGGCTGGAAGAACAACCCATATCTCAATAATAACCCTAAATGTTAATGGCTTAAACTCACCAATCAAGAGACACAGGCTAGTAGAATGGATCACAAAACAAGACCCAACAATATGCTGCCTACAGGAGACGCATTTGATAGGAAAAGACATACATAGGC